TTTTTTGTACAAATAAAGTGGCTGTAATCAATAATAAGTTAGGGTCTACTTTAAAATAACTAAAAGAGTGGAATTTAGAATGTTCCTAACACAAAGAAATGTTAAATGCCTGAGGTGATGGATGCCCCAATTACCCTGATTTGATTAATTCACATTATATGCCTATATCAATTACATGTACCCTATAAAGATATATAACTATTATGTATCCATAATAATTAAAAACAAAAATTATACATTTTTAAAAATTGAAATGATCATATAGTTTTTGTCCTTTGTCCTATGTTTTGTGATATGATGTATCACATTGATTGATTTGTATATGTTGAACCATCCTTGCATAGCTGGGATAAAGTATATGTGAATATGATGAATAATCTTTTTGATGTGTTATTGAATTTTTTTTGCTAGTTTTTTTTGAGGATTTTTACATCTATATTCATCAGAGATATTAGCTTATAGTTTTCCTTTTACATCATACCTTTGATTTTGGTATCAGGGTGATACAGGCCTTATAAAATGAGTTCAGGAGTATCCTTTCCTCCTCAATTTGTTGGAATAGTTTAAGTAGGATTGGTATCAGTTCTTCTTTGAACACTTGGTAGAATTCAGCAGTGAAGCTATCAGGTCCTGGGCTTTGCTTTGATGGGAGACTTTTTATTACTACTTCTATCTTGTTACTTACTATTGGTTTATTCAGGTTTTGGATTTCTTCCTGCTTCAATCTTGGTAGGTTGTATGTGTCTAGGAATTTATTCATTTCTTCTATGTTTTCCAATTTATTGGCATGTAGTTACGCATGGTCGTCTCTAATGATCCTTTGGATTTCTGCAGTAACAGTCATAATGTCTCCCTTTCCATCTCTGGTTTTATTTATTTGAGTCTTCTCTCCTTTTTTCTTAAGTCTGGCTAAAGGTGTATCAATTCTGTTTATCTTTTCAAAAAATCAACTTTTTGTTTTGTTGATCATTTGTATTGTTTTTTCGTTTCAACTTCATTTATTTCTACTAATTTTGGGTTTGGTTTGCTCTTGTTTTTCTAGTTTTTGAGATGTTGTTTATTTGAAGCTTTTCTACTTTTTTGATGTAGGGACTTATTGCTATAAACTTTTCTCTTATTCCTGCTTTTACTGTATCCCATAGGTTTTGATATGTTGTGTTTTCATTTTCATTTGTTTTGAGAATTTTTAAAATTTCCTTCTTAATCTCTTCATTGACCCACGGGTCATTCAGGAGCATATTGTTTAATTTCTATGTGTTTATATATTTTCCAGTGTTCCTCTTGTTATTGATTTCTAGTTTTAGTCCATTGTGGTCAGAGAAAGTACTTTGTATGATTTCAATTATTTTGAATTTTTTAAGACTTGTTTTGTGGCTTAACATATGTTCTATCCTTGAGAATGATCTATGTTCCCAGGAGAAGAATGTGTGTGTATTGTGTAGCTGTCAGATGGAATGTTCTGTAAATATCTATTAGGTCCATTTGGCCCATAGTACATATTAGGTTCAATGTTACTTTGTTGATTTTCTATCTGCATGATCTGTCCAATGCTGAAAGTGAAGTGTTGAGGTCTCCAACAATTATTGTACCGGGGCTTATCTCTCTCTTAATCTCTGATAATATTTGCTTTATATATCTGGGTGCTCTAGTGAATATGTATTTAGAATTGTTATATCTTCATGTTGAATTGACCAACCCTTAATCATTACATAATGACCTTCTCTGTCTCTTTTTACTATTTCTGTCTTGAAATCTCTTTTATATGGTAGAAATATAGCTATTCTTGCTCTTTTTTGATTTCCATTTGCATGCAATATCTTTTTCCATCCCTTTATTTTCAGTTTACATGTGTTTTTGTAAGTGAAGTTGGTTTCTTACAGACAACACATAGTTGGCTCTTGGTTTTAAACCCATTCAACCACTCTATGTTCTTTGAGGTTTTTCAGGTTTTTGTTTCTTTGTTTTATTTTACATCTGGCATGTACTGCTTTTGTAATCAGAAGAAGCAGTTAAAGATTAAAATACAAAGTATTTAAATAAGAGTTACTACATCTTAACAATAAAATATAAAATTGCATTGTTGAAGGTTTAATTTTGGCAATGATGGATAAAAATTCTATTTACGCAATAAAAAAATATGAATAGAAGGATTATAAAGTAAACTTGAGGAAATCTAGGGGGAAAGTACTAAAAAATAGAGACAATAGAGGAGAAAAGATGAGAAAATTAGAGACTCTTCCAGAAGCCTTCCATCTGAAAATTAGGAAATTGGGAGATTCAGAAAGAGAGAAGAGAGAAAATAAGAGAAAAAAAATGATCAAAGAAATAATACCAAAAAATTTTCCACAACTAAAGCACATGAGTGGCCAGACTGATAAGGACCCAACGAGTGCTCGACACAATAAATAGGAGACCTATTATTGAGGCACGTTATAGCACAACTTCAGAACACTAGAGATAAAATGATGATTTCTTAAGCTTCAAGTACAAAATACAGTGCACTTACAAAAGATTAGATATTAGAATGGCACTTTGCTTCTTAAAACAGCACTGGAAGCTAGAAGACATTGTCTTTAAAATTCTAAAGAAAAATTATTTCTAACTCTAAATTCTATATATAGCAAATCAAATGTGACAGTTGTATAATGAACTTTTCAGATAGCAAAGAACTCAAAAAATTTACCTCTCATGTGACCCTTTCCAAAAGTTACTAGGATGTGTACACCAAAACAGGAATAAACCTGGAAAGGGAAAGACATGGAGTCCAAGAAATGAATGGCTCTGCATAGGAGGGAAAAAGAGAGGTATTCCCAAAATGATGGTAAAGAGAAAAGATTATCAGATCTGTTAATTTTTTTTAAAAAAATTACTTTAGAACAGATGTATGTTCTTTGTTTTATTCTATGGTGAGAGATCTAAGGATTGGAAATGAAAAATAGTTTGTTCTTAGAGTTACCTTCTGCTTTGCTAATTTAAAACTCTGAGTCCTTCCCTGACAGAACTCAGGGTCTTCACATGACAGTGTCAATTGTTTCCTAGCATTGAAAATTTAGACTGGGATATTTTGTCTTGTCCTTTAAACTGAATGATGATCATGCTAATCATTTTTCAAGTGTATACACTGGGGAGGGGACACACTCAGAGAAAAATAACAATGCTTGAAAAATAGTCTTTTCTCTGCCTAATGTCCTCAAAGAGTGTTTTTTAATTTTTAGGTGTAACAAATGAATTTTAAAATACAAACATATGTTTGTATATATGTTGTATATATATATTTTTTCAACTTGAAAGACAGCAATGTGACAGGCAGTGAGCTACAGAGAGAAGCAATAGACAATCACTTTCCCCTCACTTTACAGTCAAGTGGGAAAAGGGATAATACATTATAAGCTTGATGGGTATAGCAAAAGAGGAAGAGCATATAACAAAAGGATTTAACAATCTAACCACAAATGCAGAACCTATTGCTATCCACAGCTCTTTCTCTTTAGCCAACATATCTACTTATGGAAAAAGCATGCCATGAGTCAGCAGGAAAACAGGGCTACAAATTTTCTCTATTTTAACTACCTAGTTTAACCATCCAATGCGTCTCAAAGTAAACATATTGAGTCTTCAGAAATACAATATTTGCACCCACTCTTGGGCAACTGTGTTTTTCACTGCATGTAGATGTAAACTAAGATCCACTGTTTTTCTTATGCATATTTAAAACAATCAATCAAGCCTAGAATTCTATACCTAGCCAATCAAACAAGCAAGGCAGCAAATAAAAATCTTTCCATATGTCTAATTGCTACCATCCAGATTTGTGTGTCTCCGTTGATGCCTCGTATTTCACAGCTACATTTCCTTATCATTTTCATTTTGTGGCTGGATAGTTTGATATTCTATCTATTCAAATAACATGTGATAGAATAAATCTTCTTAGTATGATTTACATTAGGTAGAGTTATTTATTAAGCTAGATTCTGCTAGTTGTTTCATATAAGAAAGGTATTCTGAGAAATGTGCCATGTTTATAATAGACAGTGTATAGTCTGCCTTTCTGTAAACCATAAACCAAAAGAGTTTTAAATAAGCAATAATTAATATAAGCAAAAATAAAAAATTGTGATAGTGCTAAACACCTCTTCTGTCTCAGAAAATATTAGTTGTCTCCAAATTTTAAATCCGTTATGAAAACCAGACAGATGATTTGAAAATAAAGGCTTGAGGCTGTCATCCTAATTCTTAGAACTCAAAAAAAATGAAATTTCTTGTCTCAAGATTTTCCATTTCCATCAGTGACTTTTATATCCAAGTTAGAACTTAGGAAGGTAAGAACAAGGCTAAGGTAGTCCCCCAAATTAATGAAATACATGAAATAGTTATTTCTCAGAATACTTAAGATTTCATTACTATAATTATATAAAGACACTTTGATTTCATCTTAAAGCTATTGTCTTAATGAATGAATGAATGAGTTTCCAGGGTAGTCAGATGGCAGACTAGTTACCATAATCAATGTCTCAACTAAAAAAAAAAAGTCCTTTTATTTTTTTTGATCGTTAGCATTTTTTAACAATAAAGTATTTTTTTAATTTTTTAATTTTTTTTATTTCATCATATTATGGGGATACAAATGTTTAGGTTACGTATATTGCCTTTGCTCCACCCTAATCAGAGCTTCAAGCATGTCCATCCCCCAGACGGTAAGCACTGTACCCACTAGGTATGAATATACTCATCCCCATCCCCCCTCCCCCCTGTCTGACACCCGATGAATGTTACTACTATATGTGCACATGAGTAAGTGTTGGTCAGTTAATACCAATTTGATGGTGAGTACATATGGTGCTTGAAAAACATGTCCTTTTAAATGCACTGCTGAGGTGACTCAAAAGGAAGAGCTCTGCAGAAGTCAAAGTAAAACCTGGGAGGTAAGTCAATGCCAAAGTCAGCCTCACCTTGATTTTTGTGGAATCCTAGAGACTTTCAGCTTCTACCTTGATAGCTGTGTGGATATGGAAGGCAGGAAAGAGATAAAGCCCAGCTGCCCAGGGTGTGGAGTATGAGAGGAAACCCCTCATAAAGATGAGACCTAAAGATGTAAGGGTATATGAGAAAGAAAAATCAAACCAAAACAAAACAAAGCAAAAAACTACATGCAGAAAGAACAGCAAAAAAACTAATCTCCCCTGAGAATTCCCATTTTTAACCACAAGCTGGTTCCCCCAGGAATTTGTAGTCCAAATTCATACTACCTGAATGACAAAAATAATAATAATAATAATAATATTGAGCAAATAATGTAATTTAAAGTGGTTTGACGTTGGAAGTGACCACAAGCAACTGGTAAATCCTCTCTATGGAAAGGCAACATCAACCCAGGCTCAAAGAATTCTCACCGATAAAAGTTTCAAGGGTAAAACTCAGTATCAATCTCATTGATTCCAAAGCACACATTTTTTTTCACATTTCCCATCTCTGAATTGGAATAAATTTCAAAATTCAAGTATCTCATAATTTCTGTCTACCTGGTGCAGTTAGATTATAGCTGTGATTGCTTATTTATGCATAAACATCAAAATGACTATCATCAAATTTTATAGAAAGATAGTCAGAGACTTGGAAGAAAATCCTGGAGACAATAATGAAGCACCCTTTTAACACCTTCAAACCAAATGGTTGTGTGGGTGAAGTATTGAATATTTCTCAACATTCCCAAAGCAGAAATCAAAAGACAAGTTTTTCATGAATTATCTTCTAGCTAAATTGATTCCCAGTTACTTTATAGTTTTCTGTTGCTTTTATGAATGGTTTCTTATTTCTAATATTAATTCAAACTAGCAAACAAATACAGCAACAGTGGCTTCTAATTCTTTTATGGATTTTTTTAAAATGTGGCATGACTAATATCCTGACCAAATTATGATATTATGTGAGAAAGCAGAATTCTATCACTGTTAGATAAACAGTGATTGAGAAGAGTTATACTCTTAGTATGAAGAATTATTGGAAAAGCATAACCATTTGTTCACTAGCATTTTCCCTTGTATTTATGCATAAGAGGAATATATGATAAAAACTTATGGTTAAGTAAGTCTCAAAGAGTATGCTTTTGATAAATGTATAAAATAAAAATTCAGAAGAAAGTATAGGGTCACAGTTTAATTGGAAATATTTTTCTTTGGGAGTGGTACATAAAATAATGATGAATCTTAGAATCAATGAGGTCTTAGATTTCCTCATGAAATACGATTGGAAATCCTAAAGCATATAGTAAAGAAATAAAAAGAAATATGAAGTATATCAGTCGGGATCTAGTCAGGAAACCCATGCCCATGCAAAATAGTTCAAAGAGGGAACTTAATACAAAAAATAAGTAACAAAGGTGTTGGAATATCTGACAAGCCAAACAGTAAAGAGGCAACATAAGAAAGTTTCCACCACTTCTAGGTAGCAAACAAGGGAAGAAAAGGAATATATATATATATATATATATATATATATATATATGGAATATATATATATGGAATATATATATATATATTCATTCATGGAGGGTATATATCAGGCCTCTAGGGCACTGATAATCCTATAATTTTTCTTAAACTAAATGATCTGTGAGATTAAGCCATGTTGGATGTAACAATAAAAATTCATTCTCATTGCTATATAGTATTTCAGTAATAAATGTACCACAATTTATTCATCCTTTTGACTGTTGATGAACATTTAGAAAAAAATTAACCCACTCATACTTAAGGGGACAAAGCATATGAAAATATACTTCCTGTCCTTTTGAAGGCATTTACCACTGAGATTAACTGACAAGTAGTCAGCTGTGATAGAGAAAATAAACTACTGTATATAGAAAAAAAAGAAGCAAATTTTAAGCTCTTCCTGTATCCATATAAATTAGAGTACACTTTTAGTTTTGGTGGTGGTTGTTGTTGTCATTGTTGTTGTTGTTGTTGTTGATTAGTGATTCATTCATCTCACAAGTATACCAAAATCACCTCACTAGTAAATTTTAAAAAAGTAAAACGAGATGAAAAAAAATTTGCAAAACATCAAGAGTGCCATCATTTCACCATTGGATTAACAAATGGTTTTCCAAATTTAATGTTTATTAAGTTTTGGAAGCAAATCTTCTCTAGACCCATTTCTTAAACCTTTATGAAAAAAATACTCGAATCTGGGGAAGAGTACACCAAGAAATGTAATAACTTGAAAAGAGTAAGAGTCAACAGAAAACCTAGTACATCCCCATAGAAAAAGAATATTTCACTTATTTAAGAATATTTTCCTTTGCTTTACAAAAACATACTAAAGCCAAAGGAATTTACACTATTTTTAAAAAATAAAATTGATTTAATTATAAGATTCTTAGGTCATGCTGATATAGATCATAAAGATCTGTGCATAATTTTTTGTACATCTCAGTTGAAAGTTTTAACTTTTCTTTCTGCTACCTATATAGTATAGTATGAAGCAAATTAAATTAAGTTATAAAGAAACATACTTCATTGATGAGAGAAATTTATATTCTTGAAAAAAATCCATTATATCATTTCACATAATACTGGACCTTAACAACTTGTTTGGTGGAATTGCGAGTAGTACAATTTGGTGGAAATTGGCACAGAAGTTCTGAACATAACACTAGAAAAGTAATTTGAAGTCAAATTGGAAATGGATTGTTATACAAAGGAGTTTGAACTTTACATGGTGCATAATGGGAGCCATTAAAATTTAAAAGCATGTATATAAAGTGACAGGATTAAAGTGGTAGTGTTAAACAAACTGGCAGCAGTACATAGGGAATTTATGGAAGAGGTAGGGGATGGAAAGGAGAATGGAAGGATAGAGAAACGGTAGACTATTAGGTTACCTTACCTAAAGGGAAGAGTAATAAGTGTCTGAAATAGGATATCAGCAGCAGGAATAGAGACAATGAAAACATGCCAATTATATATGAAGTTTTGTATCGTCATTACATTTACCATGGACTGGGAAAATATCTAGCCATATCTTAAATGATATGACCTCCTCAAGCATTGCTGGGCAATAAGTTATTTTGTCTGAATTCTCCTAATGTTAATTAAACAAATATTTCTTATAATGGCAAAAATATATATTATGTAACATTAAAGATAGACAGATGAGTAAGACCACTCTATCGGCCCCTGAAAAGCTGGTAGTCTAATTGAAGGAATGTATTATTTCTGAGGCTTATCTTTAAAATTCCATGACATGTTTTTATACCTTTATGCTTGTACATGTGTTTCTCTGGAAAGAAACACAGATAACTAGTAACAGTGAATATCTCTGAGGAAGGAATTAGATGACTGATGAAAGGTTGGAGAAAGACTTGCTTTGCCCCATATACTCTTTTGTATCATTCAAATTTTGTGCCATCTGACTATATTATCTATTTTAAAATATTTTTATATATATGATTCTCTAAATTCTTTCTTATAGGAAATTATGAGCACTTTTAAAATATAATACATTCTATAAATGAGAGGTGGCTATTATACTTTTCCATTTATTTAATCATTGAGAGTGTTTTCCTTCAATCATTGCTATTTCCCATTCACAGTTAAACGAATTTTTTCAAGATAGAGAAACAAAGTTGACCTGCCCTGATTTTGAAATTATGCTCAATTCTAAGATATCTAATCAAAAATTACCAAATTAAGGAGAGTAGAGTAAAATTCTAAGAATCACAATGTCTAAGAGATGGTCTAGTCTCCAGCACTTATAGCTATATGCCCATGCATAGTCCTTTATACTCTCTGAGACTCAGATTACCTATATATAAATTCTATAAAATAGGAAAAATAACACAAATCCTGTGTATTTTATAAGATCATGTATGGTAATATCCATAATAATCTATAAAATGTGTAAAGTGGCTGTGAGATCACAGAAATCATGTGGAACTTCATTTATTTTTCTAAAACTAAACAGAACCTAGATTTCTAGTTCTCCAGTTCCACTGATGGTATAAAACTTAATCTTGCTAATCCAATCTCTTTCATATTTTTCTTACCATCTTTTCTTAGGCTCAGTTCTTCATTCTCCATTTTACCCTTATTCTTACATCTGGTTCAGGTTGATTAGAGAAGCTAGTGGTAAAAGGGATGATCTAAGTTCTTGGAGAATGTGGAGGAAGAAGCTTATATACGTGAACTTAGTATTGGGAGGTAAGGGATATCTGATCTAAAACCATCATCTGTCTTTACTGGCTTCTGCTTAGGTATACTTCATGTCATATGGTCTTCCTCAAGATGACCTGGTATCTGTTGATATCTGCCAGCTCACCATGGCCCTTGACTCTCAGGTCTATCCATCTATTTTAGGTCCGAGTCTGATACCAGACTCCTTTCAGCAAGTTAGTGCCCCCATAACCACCTTAACATGCAGAGAAATCCTGGGAAGCTTTCCCACACTAAGCTGGAATGCTTCTGACTCAGTAAGGCTGCCTATCCTGCCAAACCCCTCACTTAGCCAATATTATCTTCCTGATCAGCATGATGATGGATGCTGATCAACTCCAGGAAATTGCTGGAAAATCATGAGCCAGGCCCCCTCAGTTCTGGGCTCAACTAAACTTAGATGGCGTTTTTATAAATCCTGCCAACTTAGTGGTGGTAGGATACAGGATTCTTAAATCCAACTTATGTATCAGGGGATACACACCAAAGACTAACTCTCATTTCCAACTCTTTTTTCTATCTCAATATCAATTTTGTTTTTTCTTTTAGTGATAAGCAACTCTTATGCTAAAAGTTTCATGCTCTGGATCCACAGACTTTTAGACTTTTTTACAAAGTTTCAATAGACTTAGTAGTCACAAGTGTTTTTTGTTGCATGGATGAATTGTATAATGTGGAAGTAGGGATTTTAGTATATCTGTCACCAGAATAGTGTACATTGTACCCAATAGGTAGATATTTTTCCCTCACCCCCTTTCTACTCTCCCCTCTTCTTGGTTTTCAATGTCCACTATACCACTTTATGATACTCCTCATTTAGCTCCTACTTGTAGATGAGAATATGTGTTATTTGTTTTTCCATTCCTGAGATACTTCACTTAGGGTAATGGTTTCCAGTTCCATCTAAGTTGCTACAAAAGACATCACAGATGCAGTGAAAAGGGAATTCTTATACACTGTTGGTGGGAATGTAAACTATTAATAGTATAACCTCTATGGAAACCATTATTGATATTCCTCAAATAGCTAAAAATAGACCTACCATTCGATCCAGCAATTCCACGACTTTGTATCTACCCAAAGGAAAATAAGTAATTTAGTCTTTTGACACTCAATTCCTCCTCTTTTTTTTCCCACAACCATTGCAGGCACTTGCCTTGGCTTTCAAGATTATTGCTATGAGTTAAAAAAGAAAATGTAGATAGTCATTAAGACTATACACAAATTCCATTTCTCCTTTTAGAAACATGGTAGGAATAAACTCCCTCCCTCCATTTTGAAGTTAGGCCTATCATGTTTCCCCCAAAATAAGACCTACCCATAAAATAAGCCCCAGCAGGAGTTCTAAGCATTTGCGCAATATAAGCCCTACCCCAAAGATAAGACCTAGTGATGGGCGTGGCTACTCAACGTATCTGCACAACCCATGCATTTCATCACCCAGCGGTAAGAAGACAAGCAGCCCTTCTCATCTGCCCCATCGTGACAGCTACTATCCCAGAGGTGACTGGAAAGGTCTGGGAAGCCCCACCAACAAGGTCGGCTCCCCCTGTCAGGTCCTGGCCATCCTGTGCATGCTGCAAGCTAAGGCTTTGAGGGGAAAATAACACATCTCCTGAAAATAAGCCCTAGGGTGTCTTCTTGAGGAAAAATAAATATAAGACCCTGTCTTATTTTCAGGGAAACATGGTAATATGCAGCCTGCTTTGGTCAATAAAATGCAAGAGAAAGTAATATGTCACTTCTGGGCAGGAGTAAGAGCTAGTATGCATTTTGCTGCACTCCATCTCAATAGCCGTAATTATAGAAGCATGGTGAGATGGAGCCTTGTCAATCTGGGTCACTGGTTGCAATAAGCAGAGCTCCCCAGCAGTTCATGTTCAACGTCTAGTATCAACAAGAAATAAACTTTTTCTGGATTAACTGAGATTTCAGGGATTTTTGTTACTGTAACAATCTAGACTATCCCAACTAGAAAAATTAATTTTATCAAAATCAATACCTCTACTGAAGCATCAACACTACTGATAGAGAACCATGGGGAAACCATGGTTTCCATGGGGAAAATGTGTAGCCAAAAAAATCTTCAATTATTTGGAAATACTACCCACTTATAAGTTTAAGGTATAGTGATTAGTCACATGATTTTAGGGGGTATAAACTCCACCTTAGGGGATGAAGTTGCCCACATGTAAAGGAAAGTTGAAAACTGTTCACCAGGTTGAAGCCTTAGGAAGTAGTTAGAGGTGAATAAATAAGAAGAATTTAAACTGGGCCAGGAGGAAATAATAAGAGCAGAACTTTCAAAATAAAGTAACATAGTAGATGGTACACAATGGTTGAGTGATGCTAGAGAGACACTGCTGCATGATAAATCTTCTCTGGAAAAGATGGAGAAGGATCTATGCTTTTTTTCCTTTATTAACATAAGATATTCACATTAATTATGGCTATTTAATTATTGTCATTCAGTCCTAAATTTATTCTTTTATACATTGCTTTGGGAGAGTGGGACATGTAGTCTACAAACTATATTTCTTAGACTCTCATGCCAGCTGAGCACTGGCTATGGGGCACCTGCCACCAAAGGTCCAAACATCATTCATAGGTTACCCCACCCAGAAGTCTGAACAACAGTTGCCAGGTGCCCATGCACAAAAGTTTGAGTATTACCTTTGTAGCGCTCTCCTCAGAAGTCTAAGTACCAGTCGTATGTGAGCTTGTCCTCTCAGTTTTTAGGAGTCCAGGGCCTGGGGCATATCAATATATCTAGTCCAAAATGAAAGACAAATTGCTATACCTTGCAACTCCTATAACAAAGAAAAATATACAATGCTTTGGATTTGAGAGACAATACATAGGCCACAGTTTTGTGTGCTGCTCCCACGTATTCATTGTGTAACCTTTAAGGGTTCTATTTTGAATAGGGCTCAGAGCAAGAGATGTCCCAGAAGCAACCAAACTTCTTCCAAGCTGCTCTGCTAATTGAGTATTATGACCCAGAAGATCCATTGTACTATAAATGTTTGTGGTATTAATAAATAAGTATGCTGCATGGACCAACAGGATAACTAGGGTCTTGAGCAAAGCTAAGTGCCCCACATATAAGCAATCTCCTTTTAAGAAACAACTCCTATTTTGCTACTGGGTTCTTGTAGAGACCAAATACCCACCCATGGGACACAAAGTAGCCATATGACCTAAGCTGTTCAGCATGAACTGGATGTTATCTGATCCCTCAAGCCATATGGTTGGCTATGCAAGGCAGCAATCCATCATCAAGTGGAAATGGTATAAAAGTTCCAGCAAGTCTTGAAGGTACAGATAAGCTGCATGAGCAGTTGGTTCATACTTCACTGCATCACCAACTTTCCTCAACACACATAGTATGGCCTCATGGAAACTTCCCTAGTATTAGTTGGCTGAGGAAAATAAATCATAGATGATTGTCCATGTTATTCTGCTCAAACCAGAAACAGACTACTGCTGCATTATAGCCGCAGTTAGGAGTATTTCTTGAAAACAGAGGTGAAGGGAAATCCTTTCAGTGGCCAAAACTTTAATTAGTATTTTAGCTTTTCTACTTTGCCTGGATGGAAAAGTGGCCAGAAGTATTAATATAAACACATTTATGGACAGTGGCTAACATTTTGACTAAATGATCAGGGACTTTGAAAGAACAGGACTGATAGATTGGTGATGAGAAGATCTGGGGAAAAGTTATGATTATAAAGATTTCCAATTAGCAGATGGTCAAGATAACTTGTCTTATGGATTTCAGTCTGCCTTTTCCCTAAGCACCCTGATACTTACTCAAATGGGCTCATACACAACAAGTCCATGTTGGCAAGTCCAAGGTAATAATGGGTGCAACCACGTGCACTTTTTCCTCACTGATGCTGATCTGGCTATCACCACTAGTGAGTGCCTAACTAGCTGGCAGCATATATCAATGCCAAGTTCCCAACATGGTATCATTTCTCAGTTGAATTAGCAAGCAGGTTGATTATATGAGATCATTTCCATCAGGAAAATAGAAACTCGACATGGATTTGCTTTCTGTGATAGGAAGAATTCTAGGATATCTCCTAAGACCCCTAACCTCCTTATGTACATACCCTATATAACCTCCAGCACTGTGAATATGGTGTATTTTACTGCTGTAATTAGTTACATTTTATGTCACAGATGACTTTAAGAAAAAGAGATGGTCAGAGTGGGCCTGACCTAATGATATGAGTCCTTTCAAACAGAGATTTCTCTACCACTACTTGCAGGAGAGGAAGTCAGAGATTCAAAGAATGAGAGGATTCAATATATTATTGCTGTCTTGAAAATGCAGACAACCACATAGGCAGCCTCCAGGAGCTGAGAATAGCCTCTAGCCCACATCCAGCAAGGAAACAGGGACCCCAGTCCATAGCTGCAAAGAACGGAATTCTGGCAACAAGAATAGGCTTGGAAGTAGAAATTTCCCCAGAGCCTCCAGATGAGAACTCAGTGCAGCCAACACTTTGATTTCAGCCTATGACACCATGAGCAGAGAATCCTGTGAGCTTTCTGATCTACGGAATTGTGAGCTAATAAATGGGTGCTGTTTTAAGCCTCTAAGTATGTGGTCATTTGTTACACAGCAATAGAAAAATAATACACTTTACCTGTCTGCAATGACCTACTGAAGATTACAGCATTAGTTGAAAGTTACCGTGGTAGTTTGAAGAAAACAGCTCATGAAATCAGTACACTATTCTACAGGATGTGGAATATGCTTTGAACCAGTCACAAATATGTAGTGCCCTTTCTCTCATAGCCAGAATACATGACTCCAGGAAACACAAGAGGTGGCAATAAGAGTAGTTCCTGTTTCACTTACTTCTAATAACACAACTTTGGGTTGTTCTGGCTTAGAAGTCTAAGATCCCAAGAAAGGAATGCTTCCACCTGAGAAGACAATATTCCATTTAATTGGAAGTGAGATTATCACCTGGCAATTTGTGGCTTCTCATACCACTGAACCAAAAGGCAAATAAGGGCTACAGTGATTGATCCCTATTACCAAGGGAAATTTGGGTTGTTCCTACAAAATGAGGGAACTATAACTCAGAGGAGTCTCTGGGGAACCATTTCATATTTACATATCCAATAGCAAAAATATTAATGGAAAACTAGAGCAACCCAAATAGGAAAGGACTACTAAGGACTCGGGTCCTTCCAGAATGAATTTTGGGATCACCTCACCTTACAAAGACTCAATCAACTGATTTTCTTTCCAACATAAAGCCAACATGGAAAGGATATTGTAAGGGAGAAGTTATAAATGTCAACCATGACCTTGTACTAGTTATAGAAACAAGAATGTAGCAGCTATGCACATTACTTCCCTGATTGTTATAAATAATATTATTTTATCCTTTGTTCTTCTTTTCTCAATTATTTTAATTAAAAAGTGTTCCTATTATCTGAGTGCTTATTTCAACATCCCATTGTGTCCTTTCAGCTTTTCAACACATCTATATTACCATTTGTCTCTATTAAATCCCCAATTTGAATAGCTAGCATGGTTTCTGTTTTCTTCAGTAGAACTTGACTGACACATCATTCTTTCCTCTCCTTCTGAGACCTCAGTCACTCTGACTATAGTTTTGCATTACACTTTCCCCTTCCTTCTATGATACATATATTTATTCTGTGTTGATTTCTTTAATAAAACCTCACCATACATAGTGCATGTCAGCTTTCATGTGGTGATGCCCCAAGACTTTGAGAACTATAAATGATAGTAAAAAGATGATATACAAGTGGTGAAGAGCTACAGTTGCTTTAGGGGGTAGGTGGGAAGGAATATGTCACACTCTGATATACTAGCATAGGTATTTGAACTTGGGCCTTAATCAGGGATTTAAATGGTAACCTTTAGACACAGAAAGTAGGGGATTTGATTATCAGGACAAAACTGTCTTCCTTACCCTAAAAATACTCTTTTGAAAAAATATTTCATAAAAGTTTCATTATGTACAGACTATATAGAAGAAAGATAGTTTTTTTAAAGAGTCATGATAATTTTATTTGCGATTAACTAAAGAAAAAGTCCAAGTTGATTGCTTGATCTAACAAAAAAGTCATATAGTAAATCAAATTGCCTGTTTGAATGAAGACAGATTGTTTGACTTGGCATAAGTAATATTGTTTAAAGAAATACATTTTAACAGAAAACAATTGTCTGGTATATAATAACCTGGTTTCCTTCAAATTAAAACGGAGAACTAGAAAATGAAAAGGTTATGCAACCGTTCTGCAAGTTTATTGGCAAAATGAATGAATGTGTGTTTTGGTTGTTCTGCAGAGACTTGACCTAATTGAAAGAGAAATGTGATGCCTGGTGACAGAGCTAAATAATTGTCTTTTAGAAAAAAAGAGTTGAATAATTACTCATCTTCTGTATTTCTTCCACATAGAGTTTATGATGACTGTTTCAACCCTGAGAAATAACTCATACCCCAAAAAAGTCCAAATCAGAGACTGTAATATTAGTAGCTTAATTCAGGACCTTCATTAGCAAAACCAGCACTGCTTTATCACTGCAATCACTGATGAATCAGGAACTGTCCTTCATCTAAAACGGTGGTATTACTGACTCACTGTAAAACATGAGCTGTAAGGTTATTTGGAGAGTTGTTTTTAGTTTTGTTTTGTGCTTTTGTTTCTCTGGTAGCTGTTTAAAATTTTTCTTTTCCATATACAATCCCTGACTCTGTTTTCCTCCTGACCAATGCATTGATTTGTTATGATTGGTCTGTAGCTAGAAACAGATTAATGCTAAACAGGCATGCAAGAAGGAAAAAAATCCATCAAACCTGTCTCCCTACTCTATAGCGAAAATAAGACACTCTTTCAAATTATTTTCTCATTTCTCATTAGTTCCCAGGAATGTGTGAGATCCTTTGATAATTAATTTTGTTTGTCTTTGTATACCTACTTCCTAGATAATGTACTCGAGAAATATTTGTTTGTACAGTAGATCACCTAAGCTTTAGAATAGTGCTATTATCAATGGAGCAATATCAGTTATTTGACCAGGTTGCTAAAGCAAGTTCTTAGAAAAATAAAGAAGGTGAAAATACTTTCTTAATTGAGTTCTTGCCCTTATTGCCATTTAGAATAGTAGTTTTTCTCAAGCTTAATTTCAAAACCAGTATCTCATGCTTTTTATCACTTAATGTTCAAGAAATGAGACATATTATAGAATAATGAAAGTTGTTAAGAGGTCAGTTACTTTGATAGGATCGGCTTCTCAGAAGTAAAATCAACAACCACTCATTCAATTCATTAGACAAACATTTATTGAATAACAGATTGTGTGCTAAATGTTGTGGATACAAAGATGAATAAGAGAGAAGTCCAAGTCTTAAAAGACTACACAATCTAGTTGATCAACAAATTCCTGCAATGCAATATAGAATTATACCACAGGGTATTATGAGATAACAGACAGCAGGCACCTATTTCAGCCCAGAGAACTCAGGGAAAGTTTCTCAGCTGAGTCTTAAAGAAAGAGTAGGAGGTAGTTAGACAGAAAGGGTGGTTTGGGCAAAGACATAAAGAACAGAAAGAACATGATGTGCAGAAGGAAATGCAAACATGTCTGTGTCTCTGAATTATAGTGAAGAAAGGAGGGGTATAAGTTGGCAGAAAAAGCAAGCAGTAACTAGATAACAGAGGCCAAATTAGCCAAATTATGGAATTTAGGAGTAAAGGGAGTTCTCAAAGAG